TCTTGAGTCTGTTTCTTCTTGTCCTATCCCTAGCCACTTGGCAGAAGAGACCGACCCCCACCTCGCTACAACCTCCTTTCAGATAGTTGTAGAGCGTGGTAAGGTCTCCCCTCAGCCTCCTCCAGACTAAACAGTCCCAGTTCCCTCAGCTGCTCCTCCTAAGACTTGTTCTCCAGACCCTTCACCAGCTTCGTTGCCCTTCTCTGGACACACTCCAGCACCTCAATGTCCTTCCTGTAGTGAGGGGCCCAAAACTGAACAAAGGATTCGAGATGCGGCCTCACCAGTGCCGAGTACAGGGGCACGATCACCTCCCTACTCCTGCTGGCCACACTATTTCTGATACAGTTTCTTGAAACGTTTCATACAAACCTACATGAAAATGAGCATGACAGCAGGAGCCAAAGGCATCCCAAATCTCTTTCTTAGAATCATAGAATCATTTAGGTTGGAAAAGACCTTTAAGATCATCGAGTCCAACCGTAAACCTAACACTGCCGAGTCCACCACTAAACCATGTCCCTAAGTGCCACATCTACACCTTTTAAAATACCTCCTCTTCTCCAACAGGAGATAAGGAAGAATCGGTAATTCTCCTTTCCCTCCCCAGCCCCGTACTGCTGCAGCTAACATCCCATCCTTTACACTATCAACTGGCCTGAGAGGGACTATGTGAGAGACCAAAACCCTGAGCCTGTCTGCTAGACGGAAGGGGACGGTGGCCTCTCTAATATCTGAAACCTCCTGTTTTCTTTCTCCCAGTGGGCCCAGGGGTCTGGCAAAACTGGTTACTTGTCTGCAGATTGCTCCTCTTTGGCTATGGTCTAGACTACCTGGGGTAGGGGGAGGTCTCCAGTCCTGAGGAAGGGGGAGATGCTTGCTTGAAAGTCAAGTTGTTTGAAAAGCAACTGCGTGGAGCTGGTCAGAGGTTGGTTTAGACAGGTGAAATCTCAGGTGAAGGATAAATCACATTCTGTTTTTCCAAATAATACCATTCCACCTGTGGTGTGTATGAGAGTTTTCTGTTTAATGTAAATCTCTGTTAAGGCAAATGTCAGAAATGAAATTGCTCTGTGCTGGAACACCTTCAATTGTTTTTCTCCTTTCGAGTGGACATATCTCCAATAAATATAATCATCAGCTGATATTACCATTTAAATAAGACAGTGTTGCCCACTGCAAGAACCTGATTCTGCTTAGGTAGATATCTTGCTGATTTTGACAGCCCTGACACACACCTGATAGCCGACTGCACCCCCAAATGCTTTTCTTTTTCCGAACACCTCATCCCACTGCACTCCCCTACCTACTGAAGATATTCTGTACCCCAGAGTCACTTCTTCATACATATGTGTGATTCCATTATTGCTGATGGTGGCTATACACACTTACAGGGAATGTTCCCCACGGTGATGTCTTTTAATAAGTTATTGCTTTTCCTTTCACTCTATTTTAAATGTGATAAATATTTTAACATGCCCCCTCTGCATAACTGTAGTGGTAAAACAACTAGTGACCAGTTACACTTGCAACTGCCACTTTGATTTTTCCAGGGTAAGGAAGTTTCAAATATTTATTGAGACTGCCATGCCAGCTACCCCTTAAGAGTGGGCCTGAGGTGAGGTAGTCCCAAATAAGTTCCTCCACCCATGAAGGATAGGAATTATGGCTTTGAACTCAGGCCACTCATTACTGTCAGAGACTGGGCCCCATAGCACAGTACGTGTGGGTGACTTCCCCAGCCAACGTGTAGCTTTGAAACACGTTCACAGCGAAAAGGATTGTGAATCCAGTCACGAGGAGGTTACAAGATTCAGCCTCTAAGACAAGCAAAGATGGTTATTTCTACCTAATCTCAAGAGTTTTGAGCTAATGGACAAGCAGCTACCACTGGAGAACACGCTTGTGACTAAACTTTTCACCTAGAGAATGGAAGTGCCTTGAAGTCACTGGACAGATGAAAGCTATGTATGGCACTATAAGGAAGGCAGCCACAGCTATGTTGGGGGTGGTTTGCATGCAACAGGAATTCAGTCACTGGTGATTTCTCCTCCTCAGTCTGCCAAAGCAGCTTGCTTTTGTGCATAAAGAAAATCCATGTGTTTTTCCTTGGAGAGAAACACACTCATACTTGAACATCTGTAGCTTGGGAGCATAAATCATTTTCTAGCCACAAAATATCAGGTTTTCAAGCATAAATTCTTTATAAGCATCTCTGCAGGAGGCTCTGTGTCCCCAGTCAGGTGTCCTACCTTCACTGCATTGTTGAGAAGTCGATCTTTTTCTTCTAACTGTCTATGCTCACTCTTCAGCTCACTGCTTCTCTTTAATAACTTTCGCTTCTCTTCTTCTTTGACTGCGGAACAATAGGATTAAGAATGCAGAAGTTAAGAAAAGGACAGAGGGCAAAACTGTGTGCTTGACAACAGAAAGCAAAAGCATGTATTTTGAATGGTGAGTTTCAGGTCTCGTTAGCCTTTTGTCAGCAGGTACAGGCAAATAAATCTGGAGTTTCTGCTTGCATGCCGGTGTCTACGTCAACAGCTAGAACACAGGACAACCCAAAATGCGCCTTTGAGATGAATTAAAATAAATCCTTGGACCACATGTGGTCCTGGAGGTCTCCAAGAAAGAGGTGAATGGTGTTTAAGGACAGGTCAGCCACCTGGAATGGCAATAGTTCAGTGACCCTGACTGAAAAGCAAAAATCATAACAGTGCCAGACCTCTGCAAAGCTCCTTACAAATACGATCTAATGCCCCAAACAGCCCCTTGTAAGAGTGCAACAGGGAACTAAAGAAGAGTAATGGTCAGTGCAAAGATATCATACGACATCTGATACTAATGACTGCAATACCACATACTACAGAAACAATTAGGAGCTGATATTACCGTAGTATCTGAAACACTAGTCTGGCATCGTGCTACATATACCCAATTACATGGCTCTGCCTAGCCTGACTGTGTCTCTCTGCCTCCCAGGCTGACATGATTCTGCCTCAAAATCCTGTTTTCAGCCCTGTTCTCAGGAAGGCACCACTTTGATGACAGCCTCCTCCACAGAGTGAAGTTCCTGAGAGATCAATCTCAGCTTCCTTAAAGAGAGAAGATAGCGAAGGAGCAGACCGAGGGGAAGGGAAGAGAAAGTGACCTGCTGTTCCCAGCCACAGGCCCTTATGGCCCTTTGCCTAATAATGTCATGATACCCGGTAGCATTACAACACCACTTTAATATTAGTGCCATGAAGGACTCAAATGGCATCGCCCGACACGAGCAGAGAATCCCTTGTCATTAGTTGTGTTAATCCCTACCTGTTTTATGAGTAACATAGGAGTGAACAATAGCCAGAGTTCCAGTCCATGGCACATTGTCATCTTTCTTTAACACCTATAAGCCCAGGAAACAATAAAAAGTTAGGACTCCACAAAGACAGACATTAATGCGTTTCTTCCTCCAGCCTCACAGCTCTGCAGGACCAGATCTAGGGTCCTTGTCTCAGAATTCGCAAGCTGAAAAGTAACAAGACCATGATTTGAGTAGCAGTGTCTCCATTGGGGCTTACTCCTTTACACCTGACTATAAACAGCACTGCCGAACAGTGCTAAAAGGGGGTTACAAACCCTCTGTTTTTTGCTGCCGTGGCTGGAAGACATTTTTCAGTCCCTGACAAGCAGAATTCCACACTGTCAGGAGTGTTGTCTTCTCAGCATGAGAGAAGTTGCTGGTCCGTATGAAAACATGACTGCGCAGACCTAATCCTGGGCTGCTCTGCTCTCTGCAACTGCATGCTAGAATTTCCCCTTGTCATTTTCAAGGGAACGTAACAGTGATCTCAATGCTAAACACAAAGAACTCTAAGGCACAAAATCTAAGCCTCCACTTTACAATTTAGTGACACTGTACTGTTTTAGTAATTGTTTTCCTGTTCATGCAATCAGCATTATCCACAGCAACTAGACAAATTAGCATTTCTGACATGACTATGATCAATAGCTGTGTGTAATAAACATGATCTAAGGAAAAGGAAGTATTCTCCTCACAGCTTTCAGATCCACTGGTGAACAGTGTCTCCTTCTGGCACTCCCTTCCTCATCTGTAAGATTTACATTACCTGTCTGGCAACCCGACATACTGGTGGCTTTATTGTAAAGAAGGGAAGCAAAGGAAATGAAGAGACATTTTAAAAGGACAAATCTTAGCAGATGCGATTATAGGGAAGCTAAGGCACTCAGTGTATGTTCTAACTCTAGGATGATGAAAATATCAGAAACAAATGCTGCAAACTGTACTAAAAGCCTCTCAGTATTACTTTAGCTAATGTGGTCCCCTAAGCTGTGACCATAGGTTAGATTAGTTTAGTGGTACACAAATTCGAGGTTTCTCCCATTTTCTTTTCTTGGCGTGCTATGCTCCATATAGCTTACCTTCTGTTGGCACTTTGGACAGACCCAAACCCCCTTGGGGGCAGTTTTGAGGGGTGGGTCCAAGCAGTTGAGGTGATATGCTCTGGGACATGTGCCACAGGGCTGCAAGTTAACGCCACGCTTGCAAGCAGTGCAGTGTTCATCGTGGTGGATCTCATTCTGCAAGAGAAGAGGAAGGATGGCTTGGGTAAAGTCAATCCATTGAGAACTTCTCTCTATACAGCATTCAAAGCCTCTATTGCAGCAGACAGGCTCATCCAAACACAAAATCTTATTGTCAAAAGGACCTGCCCGCTGTAGAAGACGACAGAAATAATGGTGTATGATAGCAACAAATACAAACAAACAAAGAGCCAGAAGCAAGTTCCATAAATTGAAACAGATAGAAAAATAAAAACCAACTAATCAAACACAGGAGGGAGTCGACTAATATAGCCAGCTTGTGACGTAGGAATTATTTCACTTGTTTTTGATAACGTGTCACTCCAACACATGTATCACCATGCACAGCTCTATTCTGAAGCATGGGTCAAAGTCAGTATGTGGCTCACTTGTCCTTCAAGTCCAAAGCAGAAGGAAGCAAGCAAGGCAAAGTTTCTGGGGAAAAAACACAGTTCCATGTTTTATGCCCCTTGCCTCAAAGAGCAGCTAGGAGAACAGTACACTCGAGTACAACATTTTGCTATGTACCCTCTTTTGTGAACTCCTCTAGAGGGCTCCTCTGACCCTCTATTCTCCCTGGCACTAATTGTTCTCTGTTCAGACTTGCTCTGACAACCTTTCTCCAACAAGACTGATTAGTACTTTGTCTGAAGCAATATAAGAAATGAACTAAGACTCATCAACAAAGTTACAATGTCATGTAGTAAATTGCTATGCTAATCTGGTGGCAATGTTAATTACTCTTTGTATAATTAAGTGCATTTTAATAAAGGAGGTACTGATTTTGAAACTCTCATGGCTCGTGAATCATTATAAAAAACCTAAATTTTCGTAGTGCTTTTCCACAAAGGAGAATAATAATTTTGTACCTTTGTTAATTCCAAAAGCATATTTTCATTTTTAGGGATATTAATTATAATGTTTCATGATAGTTTTAGTCAGGCTTATAACTTGAATTCTAACTCAGTCCTGTCAAAAAAATCGCTCTCCAAAATATTACTCTTTAGAAATTACCTGCTCAAAAAGTCTTAATTTTAACCTCAATGTAAAGAGATTTAATCTATACAAACTAGAATGGTTACTCATTTTTCTTAAAATTTTCATTAAAACCACAAATCTGGACTAGCGATTTCTCAATCAATGGATTCTACAAAAGGATTAATCTCAAGCCTTGCATATGAAAGCCCAAGAGTTCGTCTCTTTGAAATTCTAACTTAGAGGCTCCACTTCGTTAAGTGGGAAATGTTTCACACAATCAGTATGAAAGGCAAAGACAATACTGCAATTTGGTATCTTGATAGAGACAATCAATAACCAGAAGCAAGCACTGAATTACATGGTGATGAGAAAGACACTGGTAATACAGAAATTTTGCTACACATACCTTCCAGAATGGATCCTCATTTGCTAGCATATGAAAGAAGGGCAGAGAACAGATTAGTGGGAAATACATCGCTGCAGTGAGTGTTAGTTCTCAGCTATGGCAATAATTTTAGTCAAGCTGTGACACAGGAGATCAGGACATTGCCAAAATTAACGCGGGCAGGAAAGAATGCAACAGTAAGCAGTGGAATTAGCATTTGAGATTTTAAAATTTACATTGCAGGAATCCTGTGTCTGAAGACCTGATGCTAAAAAGTCATAGTATGAGAAGCACAGACCCCATTTCAAATTTTCAAAAATTTTCATGAGGACCTCCTCTCTGCATGTCACTAGTCCAAAAGTCTTTCTTAAGGACTTCAGCCTGCTGGGTGATGAACAGTCTGGCCATGAACCAGCAAGGCACTTAAGCAGGCGCTTAACTTGGAGTATGAAAGTGGTGCCATTGACTTACCGTTAAACACATGTTTAAACGTTCAGTTGATTCATGGCCAAAATGGTCAGCTACTTGTGCAACTGACCTTTATGTTATCACCAACTCTTTATCACCAAACTACTCCCACCCAAACCGCCAAGATTTTTTGACCTTCTGATGAACCGAGTCTGTAGTGATTACATTCACAGCCTGATAAGAACAAGAACCATCAGAGCTCACTGGAAAGCAGGCCAAACCTTTCATAAAAATATTTGTGAAATTCATCACACCTTGGTCCAAAAATAAAAAGCCTGAAAATTTTAACAGCTTTATGGAAACCGCACAGTGGGTTGTAATTTTTGCTGGTGATTTGTAAGAGGCTGGTGCATGCTGTCCCAGTGACAAACAGCTGATGGAGAGGCCTTTCTTTGGACTAAAGTGGTGACAACTAAGTTGATTATTTCTGTCCTTCTGTCCTTCTTCAGCTCCTTCTCTGATCACAAATGGGAATATAGCTGCCACAGTGTCATCTCTCATATACGGACCAACCTGGGAGTTGCTTGCTGCTGTTACACGTTTGTTTTATTCACTGATGTACGCATACATGTGAAGATGCAGGCACATTCACACCACACGCACATGTAAGAAGAGGAACATAAGAATGAAGGAACAGCTTCACCTAAGTTAGACCAAAGGCTATACAGTCTGGGGTTCTTTGCTAACAGCATCCAGCGCTGCCACTCATGCACAGAGTGCAAGAACAGGGCAAGCACAGAGTAAATATTTCTACTCCAGAAGTATCCTTCCAGACGCTAGCAGTTTATGGGCTTCCCTAACCTGGAGTTTGCATCTTCATTTTTGTATTTAACATCCTTAGATAGATTTTTCTTCCATAAATTTGTCTACTTTTTCCAACAACGGTAGCATCCTTTGGCAATGAGTTCCATAAATTATCACAGACTTATAAAATCTGTAGATGTCACTTCATATACACAAATACACACACAGAGATCCACCGCGATATGACACTGTGATTACTCAGGGGATATAAATGTTATTCAGATAAACAGGGGCTTGATAATTGAAGAGTCTTTTCTGCAAATGATACATGTCAGGGGATGTGACCTCATTTCAGGTAAGACATTTTCAGATAAATGAATCTTGATTAATTGACATTTTGCTGAAAATTTACAAGAATTGTTCTCTTCTGCATTTCTGGAAATGACAGTTTTTTCCTGTACTTCATAGGGATTTTTTTAGTTTGTTTATTTCTCTTTTCAGCTCACTTTTACTATAAAGTTTTAAACATTTTAAAATATGTCCACTTCTGCCTTCTAGCTGCGGAAAAATTAAACCGAAGACAATTTTTTAAAATGAGCGTTTTATAAGAGAAGGGGCAGGCAGTTCTGCACTGAAGGTGGACAACTACATCACCGCAGTGTCAAGCTGTCTGGGCCAGCGTCTGCCTTCAGTTCAGAGCTTGCACAGTATTTAGCACAATGGCAGCTGGTGCACGTAGCTAACAAACCCCTACAGAGGTGGGGAGTTTTGCTATGAAGAAGTCCAGATTAAAATTGACAGAATATGCAGAATCCCAGCACAGATTCTGGATGCTGGAAAAACCAAAGATACAGGACTCGAAGAGGAATTCACAATTAAGGAGAGAGAGTGCTGATTTCCAAGCGGCTCTGAGACAGCCACATCACTGGAACTCTGTCACCTGCCTACTTCCTTGCAAATAAAATGGGAAACGTGGCAGAAAGAAGATTCAGAGATATCAAACCCTAACTTAAACAAAATCCACTGTGGGGCTAACAGCACGGCTTGCTAACATTGCCATTCTCTCTCATTTTTCCCATGTGTTTACATGGGAAAAACAAGTGCTATGATAAGACAAATAATAAATTATAATTTTAATTTTGAAGATAAAACTAAGCCAGGAATAACATTCTTTCCACTGGGGCTCACATGAGCATGGGCTCCTGCTAAGAGGCATGCCATCATAGCTGTTTACCGTGTAATAACCTCTCCTGTCCTCTGAGACCCTGTGCGTTAGAGGCATATGGTAAGTAGGCCAATTGCCTGCATCTAGCACATGAAGTTTTGAAGGTAGAGAGAAGGACCACTGCATGTCAGTTGGTGATCCTGTGGCGCAGGAATTCAAGGCAGGGCCAGAAAGATGAATCTCAAGCACTAAACATGGCACTTGACAGGGATATCAAGAAAACACTGAAAAACTGTCAAAACTTCGTGTCTTAATTGAAATTACCCCTGTAAATGCTCCTAATACTGAAATAATATTTGGCTTAGAAAAAGGCCTGTCTTCCCTTACCTCTAATGCACCACAGTAGAGCCTAAGTTATAAAGGCAACACGAGGGCAAGGACATAATCACATTTCTTTACTGGCTTTCTCTCCTCTTCTGAAATGCAACTCAAGCTTCTCACTTCCTCTCTTAAAATCCTACATGGGCCTCATCTGAAGAATTAAACTGTACTCAGTGTTCTCCTTGTTTCATCTCCCACCTCCCAACTCTTTGCTTTCTCTATATGTTGCACATTTTTCCCCGGAATGGGCTTCTTCACATGAGCTAATCATCATCATCCCCAAATGGTTCATTCTCAAGGCTTTTACCACGAAATTTTCAGCATTTGAAGTTCTTAAAAATACAAGATTGGAAGGCATCTTCAAGGCCATCAAATCTAAATTTATGGCTCCAGCTCTTGGAGTCAGAAAAATTGTGTGGTTTTCAGCCGTTGTTTTTAAAGCAAAAGGTATGGTAAATTTCTAGCCCTTGAGGATGGACAGCAGTTTCTTAAAGCTGATAAAAAGAGGCAGATGAAATAGTAATAGGCCCAGAATAGTAATTATTTTTTAAATCCCCATTTTTCAATATATATTTTTAAGCCCTTGGGGTTGGCAACACTGCCTTCTTCAATCAGTCCTCTCACTGCATGGTGCTTACAATACTAGAGAATGGATTTTCCACTGATTGCAGAGACTTTGGATCCATTTCTACACGGTTTTGACCTTCAGCCTTATCCTTCATTGTTTTTGCAGGAAAACCATCTATTTTCACTGCACGCTAAAAAGTGCAGGGACCTTACACAAAGTAATGCCCTATGGTACCCTAGCAGTAATTCATATGAAATCCTACTAATAAATATTTAACATGTCATTAGAATAGTGGTATATTCATTTTAAAATATGCTTACCTCTTGTTGAAAGGAACAAGGGGTTATTCAAATAATTTGATGCAAGGCGTTTCCGCTACAAGGGAAAAGAAACCAACCACAGTGTCATTGAAAAGTGCTCTGGTTATCTCTTACCATTTCATATTAACAAGCTCCATTAGCGTCCCTCATACAAAACCAGCTATCCAGAAGCCAGTTCTGTGACGTAGAGTATTCCTTGCTAACCCCTGAGACTGTCATACAAACAGCTGTATTATTTATCTGTCTAACAAGTTCTTCATAGAGCAGTTAGACGTGCATTAGATTTTATGAACAAGAGAGAAATGCAAATTGCAAATGTTACTGATTGAGTTTCAGGATATGTTCCAGAGGTCGGTAAGATCTAGCAGATAAACAATATCCATAAAGGAAAATCTGCGTAGTAAATTGTTGCTGTGAGGTAACATCTTTATTTGCGTATATAGAAATGGCGATGGACTTCCCTGCAGAAAAACATCACTACCTCCTGTGACACTTGCCTACAGTTCGTAGAAACATACTTCGTTTGCAAGCAATGTATTAGGGCCTAAGCAAAATATTTCTCTTTCAGAAGTTAATGTGTACGACCTCTAGGAGCTGGCAGCGATTTCAATCTGCTGAGGTCACCAAAGATTTTCAAACTTGCAAACACAGATCACTGGAAACCTGACTGAGATGTTTAACTAATTTAACGCAGCCCATCGCCAACTCATCGGATTGTAAAAGCTATTGGTCAATAGCAAGCCGGGCTTCATTAACAGTCTATATAACCCCTAATTGTGTCTCTGAGCCATCCTACTTGTACAGCAGGACTGGAAACAGTACCATTTTCCTCCATCAGATGTTGTTAGACTCTGCTTGGAGGAAAATTAGAGGGTTTTTGCTAATAAATGATTTATTCTGTGGTGAGTAAACTGTTCTCTTATACACGGGTGCCTGCCAGTCTGTTAATGAATTTTGAATGGATGTTTCTTCCTTCAAAAAATACCCAGCCTGAAACTTAACCCTTTCCTATGGAAAAAAAAAAAAAAAAGAAAAGAAAAAAGAAAAAAAAAAGCAAAAAGCTACCGAGGGTGGGAAATAGAATGGTATCTCAATTTTTTAAAAACAAAAAGCTTTGAAAGGAAAAAGCACAACATTCAAGTGAAGACATAAGACCGTGATCACATTTTTGTAATCAAGGAAGCTAGCATCACCACTACAGACGCTGAGCTCCTGCCGTTTTGAGGGGCATTGGCAAATAAAAAGTCTAATTTATATGCAATTTCAATTTAAACAATCATGAATTAAAGATCATTCAGTAGACTAACCGTAAATTAAACTGCACCAAAATGCCTGAAACGCCACAAAATACCTCAACTCACTGATTAGCAAATCAATCTGAGCAGCTAATTGATCAGAGAAAAACCATCTGCCTCCATTTTACTTGAACGGCATTCCCCATGGTCAGTACTTAATGACAACTCCTAATGAGGACACAGCTGATCAGCCACAGGACTCTTTCACAGACATTTCTTTCTCCATGCCATCTTTCACTTCAGGATATGCTTTTGAGAATAGCTATAATGAGAAGTATGAACTAGGGGTGCAGCAGACCGCCCCATCTCCTCCTCCATCCCTGCTCCAAGATAATTGAGGTTCTCACAAACACCGATCAGACTACAGCCATAAAACTCTGCTGCAAGTATTTTAATAAACTCATCAGGACAAAAAGGTCTAAGAGAAGACACTAAAAATTTAATGCTAGCAAGGCTAAGGTTCCTACTGTGTTAAACACTGGCCGTATAGACATCAGTATTTGCTCTGAAGAGGTTGCTAGAGAAAAGTTTAGGAGTTCTGAAGAATTCAAGTGCCCAGAGCTGCTCTGGAGTATAAAAATCTCCAATACTTTCAAAAAAAGAACAATCAAGCTGCTAAGCAGCTTGACTACTGGTGGGTTTCTTCTTAGCCTCATCTGTCTGCTGCCTGCCAACAAACACAGAAATCTGAAATGTTGGCATACCAAAAATTCTGCATCGCTTGTACCTAAATAAAGAAAAATCACTTCTGTTAGGCTTAAAGAACTCAGAACACAGAGAAATCTTTCTCAAATGGAGAGCTGGCTGCAAATCAGTTTCATTCCTGTAAGAAGTTCAAATAGTAACCCCAAACTGTGGTGAAATTTTAAAGATGGAATTTTAATAAGCTGAATAAATGCATATATGTCAGTTCAGAAACAAAGAAAAAAACAATTTCAGAAGAAGTTAAGTCTATTTATATGTTGCTTTTACACCAAGTTTGCAATCCAATATTATGTAGGACCAAATTTTGCTACTACTATAAATGTAACAGCATAAGTGTAGCAGACAACAGAGATTATCCAGAGCATTTTATTTTTAATTATGCATTATTATATTTATTATGCAGGCTTCCATACCCCCTGCAGAGCACACTGATTCTTAAACCAACACATCCCTTTTCTGAATGTCACTAATAAAAAAAGTTCTCCATTTATTATTTGGCACATAGGAAAAGAGAAATAGCAATGCAAGTTTGAACATAATGCAGCACTTCTGTTCTTCAGTTCTGACCTAAAGGGACTGTCTGCGTGGGTGAAAGTGTAATTAGGTCCCACATTAATTTAGTCTTTTTGGCCTTTATTAAAACCAAGACGAATTCTAGTTTGAAGCAAGTGATGTTGTGAGGTGAAAACCTGTTGCTTAGCTACTGAGATGAGATCTTTTCTTTCTTTTCCACATCAATATCTCTTTACAAGTAAATGTGTGGTTCTGCATTCATATATACTTTTGTAATAAGAAGCACTTAAACCTTTTATTGACATGAAATAGAACTGGGGTAAAAAAAGTGAATGATAAAGTACCTCTGTTTCCAAGAGTCCACTGTAGGCTGGATTTGCTGTGCTTCTTCTCTTTCTTTCCTGACGCTTGCTCTGGATTTCTGTAACCATGGAAAGAAACATGAATTGTGCGTTTCTCATTCATCAGGGAAAAATGTAGATCTAACTTGTTAAGCAAGATGCTCCTACCCTCAACCCCTTGGGCTTTGCGTTCCGTTTCAGTTTCTAAAGTATAATTGGGTTGCATCAGCATTGATATTTGCTGCAGTTCAAGGATTGACATTAATAAGCTTTTTCTTGTAAGATTCAGAACACAGGCATTTTTTATTTTTTCCTTCCTCCAAGGTGGACTTCTGCTGCCCTACAAGATTTTTATTATGATCCCTTCAGATATATATTCAGCAAGCATCAACAGAGAGCTTTCAAATACTATCAATGTCTGCTATTAACAAAAATGAAGCATTTAAAGCAGTTAAGCCTTGGAATTCATATCAGATAAAAGCATAGAGATCCTTTTAAATTTAATTTAAGTTGCTTTTCCTCTCTGGAGGTTAGAAAAAGCACGGTCAGAATGGCATGGCTAGATTCAGTTCTAACTAGGGCATGATGATTTATCCATCCAAAAATATACAACTTCATGATCCTGAGCATGCAAAATGTCGTTATGAGCCGTACATGTATTTGTGTCACTGGAAACAGCAGCGCAAAGATAGGCTCATCAGATTGCAACTCTGTTTGGAAAAGGGTGAAACACACACCCTTCCGCTAAATGGTAACACCTACTCAAGATGGTACTTGCCGAGGACTGCATTTAGCAACAATTAGCCATGGGCATACTTCTGTAAACACACAGAGAAAGAGGGAGCGCATTCCTCAACCACGGAAATCTGCAGGTTTAATGCTACTTTTATCTGAGCTAGGATCTCTTTTCCGCCATATGGAATTTCTTTATCCACCTCTTGATGTCAGTTCAGAATGGTGAGATTATTACAACCATGTATTTTAGAGCCTACTTTTTATTTTTATAATAAAGTAAGAGCAGACATACTTTAGCAAGGAGATCCACTCAGCACCCATCCCATGACATGAAGCGTGCACAGCTGGGCTGATGCTCTGTTCCAAAATGTTTCCTACGTGAATATTGTAAGGCAAAGTTTGGACTCTGTGCTGAGGTGCCAGAGGGATCTTGTTAGTCTAAATGCCCCCGCGATGGTGGTACCTCCGTTCTGTCTTGCTCTAAGTAAATCTCTCAGAATGAGAGGAACTGGCAGGAGCACTAGCTCTTCAGCCCAGAGGACCAGGAGCACACCCAACAGAAACTCAGGACACCATCTGGTTCTGCAGAAGGTCTAGCATCTTTCGTCAATGTCTGAGCTAAAGAGGTCTACCTCAGAACACCCTCAGCACCAGAAAATGGCCTTCAGGATATTAAGCACTATCTCCCACTTGCAATCCAACAGTAAGATACAACCCAGCTTTCAGGAGACATGGGAATTGGATTCCCAACACATAGTTCTGGTTTCCAGGCACCCTTTCCTGAGTGATGCTGATCACTTCCCCACAGAGTAAAAAAGGCCACGTACCACTTTAAGCATTGCTACAGTAAATGGTATTAGTATTGTTGGTCACGTCTTGAACATGGTGTCCCTAGAGATGAGGCCAACACTTTGCATGGATTTTGTACTGGCCTGAGTTCCAAGATATTGATTTGAAACTTTTCATTCACAAAAGACTATTGGCCAAGCCGCCACTCTTCGAGTGATGGATGTATCAGAAGGAAACTGGATAGACAAGAAAAGCAGAAGAACAACTACTTGCATATTCTAGCTGGGTTTTCCCACTGGCACAGGAACATGTCACCTCTCACGCTCAGAAGGTGTCTTCTCCTAGGGCAATTCAAAGAGTACAGGCAGCTCTGTGTTCACAGTTTGACACGAGCTAGACATATGCTGCCATGTGACTCAGGGAGCTATACAGAATCTCACTACCAAGAAACGTGTGATCCGAGGCTGCACCGAGACGTGCAATAAACACGACGGCTGCAACCGCTGCCAGCATCTTGTTAACATCCTTGGTGCTACGCAGACTCCAAACCGGAGGATCTTGTATGGGTAACAGTTCTGTCCTACTGTGAAAGTATTTCCTATGAAACGCTCGTCTGGCTATGCTGAAATCTCCATCCTGAAGCTTCCAGACTCTTTGGCATCCTCTAAAGGGAATCAGGCCTCAGCAGGAGGGTAAGTGCTAGACACGGATCTTTACTTTGGTCTCAACAGTGTGAGCTGGAGCCGTGCTTCTTGCAGCCAGGCTCCGTAACCCACGCCACGTAGTCAGTGAGTCCAGGGCTTGCAGTGTCTCAGCACCCTTGTGGCAGCGAAGGGAAAAAGTTGGAGTTAGGGTAGCCCGGGCTTAGTCTTTCAGAAGCGGTCACAGGGATACAAGACTGTGACTTCTCACTGACCCAGAAAAAGAAACAAAGAATTCGACACAGCAGAGCTTTCTGTGTCCATATCTGGGCTGAGTGTCTTCACAGGAGGACTGTGATGGATCTGTAGCTCTCTGCCCTTTTGGGTCCTAGGTTTAAGAGAGAATTTCTTCGGTACATGCTTTCACCAAGGCAACAGAAATATTTGATGGAGTCTGAATCACACATGTGGTAGATACCTGGAATGCAGCTTTGGAAGAGGAATCGCTATGGTACAGAGATAAAAACTGGCGGGGGGAAAAGTAATAGCAGTGGGACTAGATGGAAATAAAGAGAGAGGGAGACTAATGAACTGACACAGCTCTAGACGTACTCCACCCTATGCAGCCATCAGGGAGGAAGAGCACAATGTCAGCACTTTATTTATGCAAACTGTGAACAAAAAACATCCATGCTTGTGATATAAGGAGTATGTGCATCTCAGAGTGTGTCTGTCAATAATCACACCAAGATAGAACAAAAGCATACGCTGGTATACTATCTTTTGTTACTTGTTACTTCTGCTAAAAAGTATTGTGTGTACATTTCAAAACAGGGCTCAATAAAGTAAAAATAAATAATTTGTTTTAACTGATTAAAACATTCCAGTAACGTAGATGGAAATATTTCAGGGTTTTTATTTTGCTATGGTAAAACAAGATGTGCATTTTTAGAATGACCTGAACTAAAGAATTCTTTTAAAGTTTTGCTTTCTATCTACTTCTTTTTTTTTTTTTTTACACAATGGTATTGCTAAAAGGTGTTCTAATAGCCTAGAGAAAGACATTTAATATGTTACAACCATGCACTGCATCACAGAATTTGGCTATGTTATTTCTTAGTTGATTAATTAAAAAAATAGAACCCAAACAGAAAAAACCCCTCTGAACTGTAATACGTTTGACAGAGATGAATACATCTGAAGATAGCTTTATGTTGGAGGCAAAGCTTCAATGAGCGGCTCCCTTCATCAGTAAACACTCTGTACGGTCATTCTATGAGGCCTGTAATGACAATTTGTCTTCAGGGAAAGCTGTACCTTGCAGAATGTCAGTCAGTGCAAGTGCCTGTGTTCATTTACTGGTAAAGGCCCCAAAAGATGCCTCACACTCGGGCTCTGCAGAACAGAGCTCTCTTCCCAGTAAGGGGAATGATGCTCCTCTGGACGTTAGGTGGAAAGGCTGCTAGGCTGACAGAGAAATCCATATAGAAGTGGATCATAGCCCTTCACCACAAAATTAACGAAGAAAATGAAGAAAAGCAGTAACACTGTGAATTAATGATACTGAGTGAATAAGCTTTTAATGACCCAATCTTGATACAGTTCAATTCCAAAAACGTGAAATTGAGAAATACATTAGAAGTACTAAAATAAACTGAACTGTGTAATGACCACTGCTTTCTGATAAATAGCAATGGCTGATAACCGTAAATATGACATAGCACTAAAATAATAACCTTTAGCATGTGAAAGCTATAAGGGTATTTTTGGCAGTTGTAATCACCAATACTCATGAAGAAATACCCTTTCCATAGTAAAGAGCTCTTGGTGGGAGCCATTTATTTAAAGCTCGTAGGAATATAAAAAGTGAATTTGTCTGAAAGAATTGATTCTGCAGGATTAGTATTGTAGCAGTTAGGTTCAAAATGTGCGTCTCCGCACTTACTGTAGAACAAACAGAGCAGAGCCGTACTTAGCGTTTCAAACATAAGCATTAAATCCACACAAACAATTTATTAGTTCCAATAAAATCAAAGGGTAAAGAATTATTCAAAATGAAGTTCTCTCTGTTGTAAGCATAATTTGCACTTCAGCATAATTTCAAATGTTGTCCTATTTTCCTTAGACAAAGAAAACAAGAACCAGTCATCATTTGCACTTTTTGGATTATAAATCTTCTCCCAGAATTGCTGTAGCTTTTTAATTTCCGTTTCAATCCATTACCATTAAGGGATTAAAAAGGCCGATGGCTTAAAGTTTCTTTAAACTGCTTTCAAATTCTCAGTCACTGGGACATTAAATGATTTTCTAAAATGCAGATTTAGAGAGGAAAGACACTGAAAAAAGGCAACAAGACCCACAGAAAACCTGCCGCATATATTGAGGACACCTTGCAATTAAGATCCTATTTTCTCCCTAATGCACAACCTCTCTTAAAACCAAGGAACAGAAGCACAGGGAATCTTACTAAAAAGAAATCAAGCTGTAAAATGGTAGATACCTCTTGAGTCAGCACGGTATCTAAGCATGTGCCTAACTCTAAAGCACATAAAACTTAAACTCAGTGCACTGGAAATTCCTAAGTATTTTGCTGACAATGGTCCATGGGATGGGTGGTAAATGTCAGTTATCATTAACATTTTTTGTGATCAAGAATCACTGTCAGCTGACACAAATACCAGATTTTTCTCCTTATACCAGTGGAACCACACCAACTTGTATTAGCCGAGCATGTAACTAAAACACATCAAGCTGTAGACTTTTTCTTAAAAATAGCTGTATCTTCTCTGTCCATGAGAACTAACCCATTCTGCCAAGAAACCCCCACCTCATCTCACACCACTGGCAAATTTGCTGAACAAACTCTTTTTTCCCCTCTCATCTACGTTTTCAGAAAGACAAAGCTGAGGCAAAGGAAGGTACAAATCTGCTAACTCTTGCATGGTATTTTTTGAAGGTTGGAAAAGTAAACTGAACACTATGTGATACTGCATTTAGTGTATGTCAGTATTTGTTTGAACTCAGAAGCCTAGGAAGGCATGCTAGCAACCCTTACGCAAAAGCAGGATCAGACTGGAAGTTTGTTTATTTTTTGGCTAAATGGGGGGAAACGGAGGGAAGGAAGTCTTTGTGAGAGGTAGTTTTCTAATTTGCTTAAAATCTTACAAAACAAATGCCAGATTTTCACCACTATTTTACGCATTATTCTGTGGAACTCTAGAGATGACAGATGATTAACTCAGAAAATGAAAGTCCATCTCACACGGGGAAAGAGGAGAGGGTATGCTTGCTACAGAAGATCTGAGTAAACATCTTTGAACCTCGCTGATTCTTCAACCTGATCAGTGCTGGTCAGAGCCTTTGCAGGCTTTTTGCTCCACTATCGTCCCCCAGTTGTTAACACCCTTTAAAGGACTGTGATGACTGAGTGAGCCCAAACGCCAGCTTATGCCAAGCCTGCTGGTGCTGGCTGCAGAGCCAGTTCTCATGCCCCTTGAGCTGTGCAATGGGATGGGAGGCAGAGCACAGTAAGGTCACCCATTATTTTGAGGCTGAAAAGCACAATTGTGCGTAGATAACGTTTCACCAGATTTTTCATTCTCCTCCAGAGGACAGAATCACCAATTCCTCTTGGAGCAGCCAAGAGAAAAGATTTCACTCAAAAACCGAACTGTGAAACAACATATGCCATCTTACCTTCCAAATGTTCTGTTGTAACCAGTCCTAATGCTACCATGAAGGCAATTTTCTAAGGAAAAAATAAACAGGGGTTAGATTTTCTACTACAACAACCATGGTGGAAGTAAGTAAATAAACAAATCTAGCGTTGATAGAATAAACCCAGTAAAGGTCTTTTAGAAATGTGTCTTATTTGAATGCATAGTAATATGAAGAACTTTAATTGAAGATTTGCTTCAGATATGCCTGGTCAGTCACGTCCTACTTCTATGACTATATGAACTTTAGCAGTTCAGAGACTTACGAAGCCAATGTGGTATGACTACTGATTTTATACAGCACATGATCAAAATTCAGTCAATTCAATCAATTCAGTTTCATATTGCCAGCTGCTTTGTTACTCCACTCTAGAGAAGTAATTGTGTATTATTACTACTATCTGGACATGACACTGCTTTTATTCGATGTAAGCAAGCTGTATGAAGTAAAACAAGATATGATACACTTCCACTGAACTTTACAAAACTAAACAAGACATCTGAAGCATATTGAGTCTCCTCCCCCCAAAAAAACTTTCAGAAATTTCTCTTCCCAAGTTACAGAAAGAATATCATGCGCATGAATTATGAAGAGGTACACTGAACCAATATTTTCCCTCAATGGGGAGTGAACAAACATCTCCCACTGACACTGGTGAGCTCATTTTGCAGTGAGGAATCTGATCTAAAATATTACTCAGAACTCTTGTACACTATATACGCACAAAACGCATCTTCATACTAACAAATCTTCAAAACGTGCCGATGAAGTAATAGGGCAAGTACTAGAGCAGATTCTAAATCTTCTGTCAGTGATTTTTCATTGGGAAATTTTTCCTTGCGGAAGCAGTTTTGCTGAAGCTTTTATTCCATCTTTTTGATGGAAAACTGAAATTCTGCTGTGTTGTTCCAAGCCCAAACTGAACGGAACTCCTTGGGTTTGAGTCACATCTGTGGTACTGTGGGGCCTTGGGGATCTCTTCCTCTTTCTGCTGTGCTGAACAATCTTGTTGGATCATGTTACCCACGTGGCATTTTCACGAGGTGCAATTCCACAGGAGAGACAATCTGACTACGAACCCCAAGCTATTAGGAAATCCAAGAAAGCAAAGCCCACAATCCAACTCTGATAAAGCATCCAAAGACCATAGGAAGATGCAATTATCATACTCACCCAAAATAAAATGTGTAGATTGAGATCAAACTAAAATACAGTGTTTAAGAGGTAGAAGGTCAAAACATTCTGTTTCAATCAAAGAAGTGTCAGGAGAACACGTTTCAACACTTCCAAGTCAAAATTAGTTTGACCTTCTTGTTTTGTGAAAAGCCTTTTCACTGTGAAGTTTTGTAAAACAACTTTTCATTTCGGTTCAGGATAAAATCAGCTAGTAAGTCACCAGAACTACAACTTCCTTTGCAATTCTGACTTTCACGCAGTGAAATTGTGAAAGCAAGCACATCCTCATTTCGTAGATGAAAAGATCTAGCTATGGGGTGGGTTCTTCAAAACCTGAGGATCAGGATTGGACATATGTGAAAATATCTCTGTCAATCAGGTGAACTAACAACATCGTAAGACACGAATATTTTCTTTCCATGTTCTCCTAGTACGTAATTCTCCCTGTACATTAAAAAATGGTGATGTCGAATCTCATCACTGGCAATTTAGTTATATTCATGCTATATTTCTGCCTTCCATAATTGTGGCAATGACAAGCACGCGTGTTCATTTGCATGTCAGACCTTGATTTCAATAACATTCACCCCTTACATGTCTAAAACACCAGCTAGACACAGTGGGGGCTCCACACACGAAGGGAAAGATGAATATTTGATCCGACATCCACTGTGCAGATCTGAGAAGAAAATCAGTCAATTGAGTAGAATTACAAGCTTCACCTCACCCCCACCAAAAAGTAACTTCGTGGCAGGATACGTCTCGGTGCTCTGAGCAGAAGTAATAACAACATTTAGGTATAGAATCAGAAAGTTGGAACGGTTAATGTGTGATTGTATTTTCGCAATGGAGCACAGAATGCCTATATTACCCAAAGATCAATCTCCAAGGGGAGCATACATTTTCTGACATCTCAACTAAAATTATTTGAGTACTGGAATGCTCGCTAAACAATTTCCTCTCTTCATACTAAAATTATTTGAACACATATAATAATTAAATGTAATGACAACATACTTGCTTAACATATGAAGAACCTTCATAAATGGACTTGATAATTACCTCACTATTAAACACAGGAAGGGATAGCTTTTATAGATATTTGAAAGATGGTTTCTTTTTTAAAAATCCCAGTAGAAGCTGTATTCTTTTTAACAAGCATATAATATTTACAGCATATCTGTTTTTATGGGTTGTGCTATTTCACACTCATGTGGCTCGTTGGATTCAACTCAAAATACTACTTCCACTGCAATGCTTTTCTTTCAAACACCACAGAGTATATTGTTTCTCCTCTGTGCAGGAATCCACAAAACTGAGGCTTCAGTTTCTCCGGATTTTCAATCCAGGCCCAACACTAGCATTTGGTTCACAATCGCAATGTGACCCCCTTGTCCTTCTTAGGTGGGATGAAAAACACTGTTAGCTAAATAACCAGCATTCATGGCAGTAATTTTTCTTCTAAACAAAAAGCTGCTAGAACGTTCTGGAAGACGTTGCCAGAAATATAAAATTTTACTTCTATAAAATTTTTAAAAAGCAGGAAGTTTTGGGCGGAATTCTGATTCTTTCTGTCCCCTTTTCAGGTCCTTTTAAGAAAAAAACAAAACCAAAACCACCCCACACTAACCACCCAGGCACTTGCCCCCCAGAGGAGCACCTCCCTTGCGCAATTCCTTCACTTCTTTGCAGAAGTCATTCTGGTGGGAGACGGGCAGTTATTGGTCACCATTCCCAGCAGAGCCCCGCTGACAGCAGGGAGCGGGTGGCCCGCTCCTCCAGACCGCCCCCAGCCCCGGGGGGGACTGAACCCTCACGGCTCATATCCCAGGAGAGGGCTCTGACCACCGGACCTGGGACACCCCAGCTGGCCGAGACCCTCCATCCTGCTTCTGGGAAAGCCACGCCGCAGCCAGGCGTCCAGGCACCCTGGCTGCAAGACAGCGGATGCCAAGAGGTTTGCTTTAGTCTAATGATGACGGGGAAAGGAGAAATCTTCGGCTTATGCAAAAGGCGTACGTATTGCAGGGGGCCGTGTCCAGGATCGGCTTCACGAAAAAGCCAGGAACAAGAGACAGTAATTATCCTCAGGCTTTTCTGTTCCTTCAGGTACGCTCAGTAACTGCATGTGGGACTCCTGGCTACTGGTACGTCTGGTGATTTCTGGTTTATTTGTTTTAAATTTTCAATTTAATTTGTTAAATCCCAGTCTGTCACGACTAACATTTACGTAGAGCCATTTTGGAGTTCCTGCCTCAGTTTTGTGCTTTGAAGATAAATAAAGGTGTGGAGAGAAGTGCCTATAAGAGAGTGCTTATTTTCTTTTAAAAGATATCATGGTATCTTTGTTACTCTTTGCCTTAAATTTAATCATCTGTTTAAAAGCCATGAGTGCTTTTAGAAATGCGCAGTATGTCTTTTCATGAAGCAAAACAAAGATTTTTACAAAACCATTTCATTTTGTAATTACATGTTCTATTTATGTCATTACATGTATTTACACTAATTATGCTGCTAGTTCTAATTACACTAATTGCATAAATACATGATAATCAACCAAAGTTTACTTTCAAAGAACAAAAGAAATTAACTCTAGACCTACGTATTTACAGCCGTGAAACAAATCTATGAAAAGAAAAGAACTGTCATATGTAAAGGCATAGCTTCAGCATCCTACCCACAAAATTGTGCTTGCCGAGACCTCGGTAGGAACAATGTTCTTGGTTACGAAAAAGGCAGTCAGGATATTCTAGTTAGCAATTTAATGAAAAGCTCATTAAATTTATGAATGCTATACCAAAAAGTGTGCCCAGTCCCATGGTCTCTTCCTGCATCTCTCTGGAAGATTTTTGCTCAATATTCTTTCCGAAGGCATACGTTACAGGCAAAGAAAAATGGATGTTTTTTCTAGCATTCTGTTTTCAAGCAGGATCTACTAGCCTTTTTGCCCATAAGGTGCTACACAATAAATAATCTTTCGGAAATACCTCCCTAAACAAAACAGGACCCTACAGTCCCATCATTCAGTGGCAATGAAGATTCATATGAGGGTCAGATTTTAAACTTGAGAGGTTTCCTAAGTGTGGTTCTGCAGAGCTTCTGCATAAAGCTGTGATATTCTAGGCTAAAAGCCACTATTTATCCTTAACACTGTTTTAACTATATGAACCTCTTAAAATGGTAAAGCAAATGTGGACCACCCACATGCCTCAAGTAACATTATAAATTTATATTGTAATAATCTTCTTAAACCTACACATGCAAGGATGCTTTCATGCTACACATTTATTAGACTAGTAAGGTTAAGATTTCACATGAGCTGAGCATTTCCACAATAGCAGTAGATTCAGTTTGTATAACTTCTCAAATTGCCTCAAAAGTACACATAATCTAATGTGAATACATCTAGTCAAAAACCAAAATGCCTGTTAAAGAGAGACACCATTTCTACAAGGGCTTCTGATTTGTATCTTTAGTTTACATCGCAAATATAGTTCATGAAAGAGATTTAATCTTATAACCTGCTTTCTACTCTCTTACTCAATTGGAAGGATTTTAATGTTTTTCAGACCAGAAAGAATCTGTGTACATGTGGGAAGACATGTACACAGCAAATGCAAGAAACTGTATTGTTAAATACAATCTAAAAATTGCAAGATTCATTACAGAGAAGATGTAAAAGCTCAGCTTACAAAAGAAATGTTAATTCAACCTCATACGCAGCCTGTAAACCCAATGTTACATATTTGGTAACATAAAGGAAAGTATCTTAAGCTTGTATACACCTTTCACAAGAAATACAGCTATACCCACACAAGGTGCCTAGATTATTATGAGACCTGCAATTCTTACATTTTGTGACACTGGAAGGTTTGAACGATGCAAACCAAATTTGTCAGAGCACCTCACTGGTAGGGAAATCACTCCGATTGCAGCGATTGGGTAGAGAGATGAACAGCTGGCAGAACTACGAGCACAAATGCAGTAATTACATATGCACACAGAAAAACGTTTAGAATTGGCCCCCGTAAGTTAACCATACTGTAGCTCACTTATTAAAAAAAAAAGAAAAAAAGATCACCTCTGGATTTTCCTCCTTTTTCTTTTTGGTAGCAGGGGGTCCCTGAGCTGACTCTTCAGGAGGTTTCTTTGTCTCCACTTTACTTTCTGTCTGGGTTTGGACTTGAGGCTGAATAATGATAACCTAAAAGACAATGTACAAATAAAAGAAGAGAATTCACTATATGAAACTGGATTTTTCTGCCTGAAACCTTTGATTCTTCTTTGAAGACAACAGACAACAAACGCAAGTCGCAAGCCAAAACCATAAAAAACTGGATACCTAAGCTAGGATTCTAAATCCACACTTAAGTTTCTAAAAATTAATTTTTATTGGTGCATTATAAACCACGTGCAGCCTAAGGGAGCCACTTGATCAGTGCCTCTGAAAATTAGGACACTTTCTATTTAGAGGACTTCTGAAGCTGACTCAGCAGCCTAGCTTTAGCACTCGTGTTGTCAGTGATTTTAAGCTCTTGCTTTTGATTTTATTTTGTATACAGGTGGAAGAGATGGTATTACTACACATTCAAAACCACAGCCTGATCTCAGTCATACCAGTGTTATTTCAGAGTAAGCACGTGTGGATGGGAAGGAAGATACTCCTCAGTGCTACTCACGTAACTGAGATCAGAGTTCAGTCCTCAGCATTTATGTGTTATGAGCAGTGGATGTCCAGTTTTGCATAAACAAAATAAACTATATGTGTTTTAAATTAAAATTAATTCTGGTTTAGAACCTATAGGAATTACTACACAGATCTCTCATACATGCATGTACGTTAGTATATCCAGCTGCTCATACTTGAATTACCACATGAAGATTTACACGGTGCAGATACCATTATCTCAGAAGCTATTAAATTAAAAGGAATGAAGGACAATTTCTGACCACAGAACTACACATGTGACTTTATACCCATAATCAAAGCTTCAGGAAGGACTAAGGAAGACCTTCCCAAGCTCACCTTCTTGATGAACGATTGAATTGGATTTGAACCCTGGGCCTTTTCCTTCTATTTCGTTGCTAAATTTCAATTAATGTTATTTAATTGTTAGATATTTTATCTCAACTCAGTCACTCTAGAAGATTCAAGAGCATAAAAAGGGACGGTTTTCTTAACCAGCAGCCAGTTTAAGTAAGAGGAAAATAAATTATGTTAGAGAAGTGGGGAAGAGATGCCTGCTTTTATTTATCTCAAAAGCCATCCTACATCCTGTATTCTTTTTTAGCACTGTATGAGAACCTGTGCTGCCAACAAGACCCAAAGTAGCAGGATCCCAGTAGCAAATTACAGCAAATGTCTGCTAGGTACATTGGCAGCCTTTATTGAATCTGTTTCTGGTACAAGAGTGGTGAAGTTCTTGCATTTCAAAGCTGAAAAGCAGTACAAAGAGGAAACAAGTAATTCGTAACTTGATTTTTTCCTACCGATTCATCTGCTGATCAGTTTTGAAACCCTGAGCTCTCATTTCGTTTGGTCTTCCCCTGTAAGTGTAGAAGGGAATGCCTGATTACTTGATATACTCCCCCGGGGTCAGTCGATATAACTAGTATCACTGTATAATTGAAGAGGGAGTCCACAGGAAATTTGAGCCTGCACAGAATTCAGCGATATTATTAGTGAGGATTGGTTTAAGGAAATGGAAGATCATACGGTCCCATTAATGTCAGGCTACATAATGATGCATTTTGCTCCCACTAAAAAATATGCTTGTACACAGATAAACGTCTACTAGCGTCCATGTGTCCCCTTAAGAATTTTTCCATTGCTTTCTGATTATTTTCTTCACAAGGAACCACTGACACCACTCTGCACAGGGCTGTGCACTCCCAGGGGAATGTTCTGCTTACATCTGCAACGTAATTCCTGTGTTTGATAACCAAAAAAAAAATGCCGTGAAAAGCAGAACCGACCTTGCTGTCGGCACTAATGAGGAGTGGTTGCACTTTAATGCTATCGTTGACCACGGAGACAGTCGCGCTGGTGCTGATAGGAGTTGCATTGTTGGGGGAGGTGGAAATGATGGCGTACGCCACACCTGCACTGCTCAGAGGTGATGAAATAGCTGTAGACTCGGTGACACTTTGTGACTGGCTGTTAGGCGTCTGTACATGGCTGACGGTGTTATTGGCAGTCGGGAGGGCAGGGCTGGGGTTTTTGATGCTGACGACGGTTGCCTTCTGGAAGGTAGGAGGCTGCTTGGAAGGTTGGTCTCTGCACGGGGAGATAGGGAGGCTGTCTGGAATCAGGGTCTTTGGCCTAACCTACGAACAGAGAGTTAGACGTTATCAGGCACAGTCTCGCACCGCAATGAACAAACACTGCACACATGCACTCTCCCAGGAGAATCTCTAATTGCATTAACCATGGAACAGGAGCATCTAGGAAAACATAATGTAGCAACTCAAAGTAGCCAGCCATTCATTTACTTGTAGATATATTCCCAGCGCTCCACAGCTGGGTCATTTTGGAGTCCTTAACTCATTGCAATGCTGAACAAGAAGGGAGGAAAAAGTCAGTTCCCCACTTTTATTAGCACACATCCATACAAATGCTACTCCAAGTAGTCACATCCAGTTCTCAGCAGGGATGTTTTGCCAAAGCCTTTGCAAAGCCTTTGCAAAGAATGGAAATCCCAGATGCAATAATTTCCTGTTCTGAAGGACACAACGCTCTTGCTATGAACTGAGGAGTGGGAACTGAATCATTAAGGGAGTTGTGGGAAAGCACTTACAGGAACAGCAAGTGTATGCATTTATACTGGTGGATCAGTGAATGAAGATCCTCACATTTTGAAGATGTGCCATGTCTAATGGAGAGGAGATCAATCACGCAATCACTCAGCTCACCAAAAAAAAACAAGAGAGGGGAAGAAAAGAACCCCACAACCATCGAACTTCATATTTTGTTGCTGTAGGTAAAGAGCTAGTTTGCAGCTGCGGGTGGATGCAGAAGGAACTTCCACCGGTGGAGGGGGAAACTGTTTGCCAAGATTTGCGAAGGCTGCGGCTTTACCCAGAGCCATGAATGATAGCGGCGAACAATTGTTTTCAGCTAATGTGACGTGTTTCCAGTGGGGTAATTAACGTCACCCTGTCAACATGGCTCTGCCTTAACAACATGTTAAGTACAGTTCCAGGATTGAAAATAAATAATTTAAACTGTTTCACATGAAGTTAACTTCACTCCCAGCTTATTCGTTAACACGGCCAGATAAAACAGTCGGTTCTCTCTGTGCTTATTTAGTCCTGTCACTTCTCGCACCTTCCATACTGTGAAACAAAATGACAAGTTGTAGCAGACAGACATGGGAAACAGCTGCCCGTGTCACTGCGCTGTAGTCTACAGGAGCCCTTCCAATGATGCCGACTTCAATCTTGAGCCTAAGTAAGCAATTCAATGAAAGCGCGGGGATTTACTGATGTGCAGAAAATCATCTCTCAAGGCTGGCCATCATCCTCGATCGTGTCAAGGAGGAGCTGTGCCCGTTTGTCCCTGCAGCAAATATTAAGGGCAGCAACACAGGCATGGCGAGCTCTTCGTGTTTTGGTAACTCGGCCCTCAATTGCCGATAGGATCCTGACACCTACGAGCAGGGCAAACGTCTATTAGAGGCACAGTCCTGCTCGGGAGTGTCTAAATTGTAAGTAACCAAGGCAGATGGAAAGTGAAAGAGGAAAGAGAGCCGAAGAAGAGCAGAGGGGAGGGTTTGCCCGAGGTCCTGCAGCAGGCTCGTGACAAAGCCAGGAAGCCGCTGTGTTCGGCTCACGACGTCGGGGTAACACCGGAAGGCCCCGTAGTCCCACTGGGAAATGACACAAAACTATGCTAAACTATGACTAACCAGTTTCAAGATACACTGACAGTAACTGAAGGGTTTTTTGCTCTTTTTCCTCCATCCAATCACTTTATGTAATGATTATTTGATTTATTTAATTAAGATACCAGACAAATACCCTGGCCAAGTTGTTTAAGAGAGGAGTCTATAATTAGCTTCATATCCATAATTAGTTAATGGTCCTATTTTCAAAAGCAGTGCACAGAGGATTGGTTTAAACCAATGGCCCAGGCATTCGGCAAAGCTAAGGCTTCTAACATAAACAACAGCTCAGTGCAATGGGAGACATGATACTTAAAGCAACTTGTTTATGTCTGTATCGGAGTCAGTTATACAAGCAGATCTTGTAATATCTACGTTTATATTTTCATAATAATATCCTTTCCCTCCTATGTTATATCTTACATAAGTCTCTCATATGTAAGCCTTTAACAAATTGCTCATGCTCATGTGCTCGGAGACACGTTCACAGAAATAGTATCATTATTCAGAAAAAAAAGTCTGAGAAGCTTGGCAAATACAGTTAAAATGTAATAACATGGCTAAAAAATCCAAATTTAATTCTTAGTTGTTTGGCTAACATCTAAATTTTACCATCTCTCCTTAAAAAAAATTTATTTTCTTGTAAATTAATATAACATCTGTTACCAACAGAAATACTGTAAACACACAGATAAGCACATATATACAGAGAAAGAGAGAGAGAGAGAGAATAAGGAGTAGTTCAGATCAAAGATTCAATAGAACAGTCACTTAGAAAAAATCAAGTCTGACAAAAAAATCAGCTCAGGAGTTTTTCTAGCCAAAAACTGTCATGTAGTCTACCAGGATCTACTGTATCTGTCACTTTTAATTGCACTTTTATATTTAATCAAAAGCCTAATTAAAACTAAATGCCTATATATATTCCAGCTATATAATCATCTTTTCTACACTATTACATATATATATTGACTGTCAGATGTAGTACCTCAACGAATCCTATACACACCCTTAATACACGTTCTGCAAGTTGTGGATGAATGCGTATTACTTCGCTATAAAATAAGCTCTTCCTGCACAGACAATTAAACAGGCTTAATTTTCCAAAGTAACGTATTCTCCATAAAGCGCTGCATACTGAAATAGCGGACACGATTTACCAAACCGGTACAGCACAAGAACATATGCTGGGCGTTTTCTGCCCCCGTGTGATACAAAGGAGGTATAGCGGTCTTCACAGTCAGCCTCTGCAAATTCCCTGGCAAGTTCAGCTAACGTTGTGAGAGCATATTTATTTGCAATTATAGAATAATAAAAAGGGTTGACGACAGAAAAAGTTTCAGGTGCTCCTGAGTTAAAGCTAAAATAAGTTAAAGTTAAAATATTGTTTATTTCTACAGCCCGCAGGCGTGAATCCAAATCAGAAAGCAAGCATAGAAGCCCCTTGTGCTCCAGCACCTACGAGCCTTCCCCCCTTGAATATAAGCACTAAGCCTAAGCACTTAATCAACAGCTAAGTGAAAGACCTTTAGCAGAGTTTCACGTTAAAAACCAAACTGCTAGACTAACCTGTGAGAATAAATGGTGTCAGCTGGGAAGAAAAAAAAATGAAGGAAAGAGCTAGCGTCAATTCCTTTTCCTCACGGCAAAACTGTAGCTTAAATTTGGGAGGTGAAAGGGGGACAGTGGCACTAGCAGAAGTTTGGAAGTTGACAGTCACCGAAGAAGAACTGGAGGAAAACTAGGGCAGGGCACGGACTGCATTTCACATGCAAGGTATCAAAAAGACGTTTTCTACTGAAAGTAGCACAGGTTGGATGGCACCGGTCCCCTTTACAACAGCCACAAAAATAAAAGGCGCAAAAGTTTAGCAAAGGAGAAGGAAAGAGAAAGAATAACAGACAGCATGTATGTTACCAAGTGAAAACTGCAACTGTTGGCGAGCGCTGCAAATAACAATCCTCCTGTAGCTCAACCCTCCTCTCCCCAAATATCTTTCATTTAACTTCTGACAGCTGTCAAAACAGAATGTGATACTACCAGGGCTCTAAATGCAGGAGAAGAGAGAGATGCTTCTTGAATATAATGATTTCACAAACCCGTGTTGTTCTTGAGTTTCCTCAATACCCACAATAACAGCAACATTTGATTTTAGGCGGCAATATTCAGACACCCCTGGTACTTCTCAAATAGCCTGCAGGTGAGCACACTGTTCAAGAAGATATTCCCAGACTTGAGAATTCACTAGGTAGGGGCTGTCTGCTTTTCAGACCGGGAAATAACAGAGGGCCCAATCCTGTGAGATGTGCAGAGTGCTCTTTTGTTCAGCAACCTCTAATTTCATGTGTTTTAGAGAGCTTCAGATCAGGAGAGAGCTCCTGTGACTAACATGACTTCTTGTATATCCCGTATCATTAAGCTCCATCCAGATGTCCCTATATGAAGCCCAAAGGCTTCCATTACACCGAAACATGGTTCCAGCTCTCAAGAGCACAAATTGTTGAATACCGCAGAGGTGAACAAACTGCTGGGAGAGCCTGATGTATGTCACCATTGACAAAGGCAACTGTGATCGTGGGCAATCTATTTCCTGAGCTACATCCCATCAGGTGAGCCGCTCCCGTGCTGTAGTAAAGAAACAGAAGGTAAAAAAGAAAAACTCTTACAAAATAAGCCCTCAAGATCCAACCCAAACAAGTATGGGGGAAAAGGAGGAGAGGGAAGGAAAGCACACAATTCTTCCCATCTCTGTGGGCAATCCTATGTAGTCCTAAAGGACAGGATTTAATTAGAACAGTTATCTCTGTGAGAGATCTGCAGGTGCTATGAGAATTGTTAAGGGCAATTCTGGTAAATGTGTTCTCCTTACGGCCTAGTGAAGAAGGGAAGTTAACGAGTGCGCTTCAATTACAAAACCAAAAGGGATCGCCATCATCCTCCAGCTCACAGACTGGCCACAGAATTTCTCCCAGAAACTGAAGACTGATTTTAAAAGAAAATAAAGACTTCTTAACGATGAATTCATCACAAGCCCCAATAAACTGTTATAATACTTTATTATGCTCATGACTGGCATTTTATTTCAAGGTTGAATTTGCCTAACTTCAGCTTCCAGTCCCCGGATCCTGTTATAGCTTTGTCAGCAACACCGAAGAGCCCTCCCCCTCCCCAGTATCAGATATCAGCTGGATCGTGCTCAGCATCAATCAGCCCCTCATACTGGCAGGGCCGATCTGTATGAGAGTAAGTTTTTCAGCTCAACGCAATATCACATTGCCTTTGAGAGAAAGACCATTATTCACACTTTATTTTCACTTCACCCTTGTACTCGGAGCTTAAAAACAAAAACTCAAAATGGATTTGGCACAATTCATATGTCACAGAGGCAAAGTGCTGCGAGCAGCAGACAGAGCTTTCATTCTTGAAAAGCTTTAGAGGATCACACAGAAAACATTAGCAATGGCTGATAAAATGAGTGCAATATGGGGTAATTATATCCTTCACCAGCATGAACAGATGCACACTGACTTCAGTAAAGCTGCGTCTATTTATGCCAGCTGAGGACCGACTCTCTCCCTCTTCTTTTTTTAATCAATAAAAATTACGCAAAAGAAAAGGTTCTGCGTAACTTTACAGCAACGACACACCCTAAAATCCAGGTTGCCCAACTGACTTGAATACAAGTGTTTCCAGCTTGGCTGATTTTTGGTTCCTTTCCTGACAAGCTCTCCTATTACCTTCAGCCTGGTCTGAGACCACAGTCAAAACAAACACATTATTTTCTTGCCATGGGGGGAAGATTTAAAACCACACGTGACTATGGATTCACATACACGCTTCTTCCTTCCCCTTAAGGGGGCTACACAAAAAGGAAGGTGCTCCTCAGCGTGCATCACAAGGAAACCCCAGGCAAGATGACCCAGTCCAGCGAGTCCTGTGTTCACGTACAACGTAAGCCTCTCCTTAACATCTACCTGGAATATTAGCCTGGGAAGCCACAGAAGAATGATACGAAACGCAGGGCAAAACCTCCAGCCCGCGTTCCAATCCTGCTGCTCTGGACGGTGAGGACCAGGGAAGAGCTCTTAACCTGACTGAAACCAACAGCAAATTTGAGCAGATTTCAGTAAGGCCAGAACTGCAACTAGCACCTCGAAACAAACCTTAGTCTGTCATTTCACGCCATGAAACCCAAGAATCACTCTGTGCTATTTCCACACGTATTCAAATTACGTGCACGGTATCAGACATTTTCCACGGGACTGTATACCTACTGTGCTTTGGTATTTCAATTTGTTAGTCCTGGATAGTCAACTTTAGTATAAAGGTGACACACAGATAATATAACCCCTGTGCAATGTTAAAGAAAACAAAGCTATTTCATTTAGTTTTTCTTCTCCTTCAGCTTTGCTTGATACTACAGAAATGGAAGTTTTGCTGAGAGGGATGTTTGTGCAGGAATCCGCCAGCTCTGCTTTTTGTGGATGTTGGCATAAGGCAGTCAGGTGGGAGTTCTTTATTAAAATCGTTATCAGTGTTTTGAACACAAAACTGTATTTTCACAGGAACTTGACTGACTTTTGCTAATGAAATGTACATTTTCTCCTCAGCTATACTGCCTGTATTTTCTAGTTTGGCATTGCTGCTATTGAGTTGATGATTCATTAAGTGGCTCTTTTCCATTTGCAAAGGGGAAAACTATCATTAAACCAGCAAATTAAAATCAATATTATTCCAAAAAATAACAAGTAGGGGTAGAAGTTGACAAGGATTTCTGCTTTTTTTCCTTCTGCACAATGATTCTGTCCTTGAATATGCAGTTATCTATGTGCCTCTGAGGAAAGAATTTAATCCTTATTGTTTAGGATTACAATAGAAATATAAAAGCTAGACTGTGATTATACACACCAGTCAATAACTTACTTCCATTTCTACTCTTTTCAGCATTACAAGCCAGCTTGCTTCTCTCACAGATACTCATCTATGATTAACTTACTTCAATTTAAATATAAAGTGTCCATGAAGCCTTTAGGCACAAACGAGCGAACATCTGTCTGCTTTCCTCCTACCCGTACACTTTCGTAGGCGAGCTCTGGACTAATCCACGCAGCTGGGCATTCACTGGACTCAAACTCTGGTGTCGCTTTAAAAACCATGGATGTCATTGCTTTGCACTGTCCATCACTTTAAGAGCTTTTCCTAATTCTAGACAACAATAACGGCACATTATAATGATTTGACCAGCCTCAACTCATTTACTAGCCGAGATCAAAACACTTGAAAGACAAAATAATAATAAAAATAATGACATAAATCGTTTCTGTCTGCTGACAGTCTGAGCAAGACGGAAATACACAAAAAGCTCAGACATCAGGAGATGAAAATGAAGGTTTTAGGGACTGGAAGCAGTGCAGTAAATTCCTCCAAGCCTCTGCTGAGGTACTGCAGACAGAGAAAACCTTCCTATCCGCCTGTCATTTGGCCAGAGGCCGACCGCAAGCTTGTACAACTGGCACGGTCCAGGTCCAAGCCAGACATGGCTCTGAAGCCACATCATTTGCATGGATGCAAATGGCATCAGTGGAGAGAGGGGACATTTCTTCTCATCTTCCTGATACTCTGCAAAGCAGCATTTGACGTGGAGAAACATGAGAGTTTTCACCTGGGAAGAAGGTACCATGTCGGGTGTTAAAATGGCTTGTATCTTTCCTGGGGGTTATATGGATACTTTAGGCTCCTACGTGCAGACTATCATGGAGATCTGAGTTCCATGGAGGTCCTTTTTAAAATGTTTACGGCACTGATTGGATCTGAAGGTCTTAAGCATCAGTAACAGCCAGTTCTGCTTCTCCGTCCCCACCACCCTGGATCAGTTCTCTCATTAAGAACAGACAACTGACACTGACACTCAGAAAGGCAGAGGTAACAGAGGGAGCTACTTCGGAAAATTTGCATCTGGGTGTAGTCCCCTGTGATACACCATACGTGTTCCTCTTTGTCCATACTGCAGAAAACCGGATTTCTCATCACTGCCAACCTCTAGGAACCATCCACAAGGAACAGTTCTTATCGCACCACCTTAGTCATAGCGTCATCTGTCTTGGTTGCACTACAGCAGTGTAAAACACGTACCACGGAGCACTCCAACAAGCCCATGGCTCTCTCAGCAGCACAGGCTACCTATCAAACCTATCCACTAATGCGTAACTGAGATCCCCACAGATTTTTCAACAACGTACCGTGTTTTCATCCCAATCTTCAAAGCTCTCCCTGTAAAGACTTAGTATGAAAGGCCAAGGTGGCCACGTGTCTCTGGTGCAAGGAGTCTCTGCAGCAAGGCTGATGCTCGTATAGGCAAGCGTCTCAACCTTCTTCTCTACGAATTAAGGGCACGAACCTCATCGCTTTCTACAATAAACATTTTCTATGTTATACTCCTCTGACAGAAATACATAGCGGCATGCAATTAATAGTAGCATACCTATTAAAAATACGCAAACTGGTAAAAAGGAACCCTAACCAGAACTCTCAGCTGCACACACTTCTTCCCAAAGGGAAAGGCTGAGAGAAGAAATAGCTTACAACAGATGTTAATCTTTGCGCTTAACACATCACCGGAAGGTGCTTCAAATACAGTGACAGGCACGGTATAAAAACTTATATAGAATAAAACAGATTAACAACTACATTTATTAAGGGCTACATTTTCAGCCAGGCCTCTGCAAACCTTTCTTTTGAAAAAGCAATTTTGTTTCTGTTTTCTGCACGCATACAGTGGATGAATATTAAATACTGTTGCAAAACCCTTAGCTTGGTTATATACCACGCTGATTAAGTTACCTTGAATTAGATTATCTCTCTTCTCCTCTGCTAGCATTCCAACACATCCCCCTGGAAGCGCTGAGGGCTATATACCAGAAAGGTGCACGACATCCCTTAGGGGGTTATAGTCCTTTTCTCCTCTGATATTGTAATAATGACGTTACCCAATTCAATTATTCCTTACTCAAACAAACAATAAAGCGCTTTTGTCTCTCCACTGCACAATTCTGTGTAACTTTTTATACAAACATGTATATCTGCTAGCTTCTTTTCTAGTTTCACAAAAGGCTGACTTCCATTTAGCAATATTTTTCCACTTTCTAATGGCTATGTCTTAACACACTACACTTAAAAATAATGATTTTTTTTTTTAGACTTATGATGCAAACAGAGAGAGGCTTTGCCACAGACCAATCTGTTAACACATTTCTTCTACAGTACACAGCAGCATCACACAACTTGGGTTCTGCCCACAGGAGTTGTTTTCCTTTCAAGAAATCTTCCAGAAGCCCTATCACCGGGGAAGCCAGGAGTAGTCTCTGGTTTTGGTACACACGTGAAGAGAAGCAGCAGCTACCAGTGGAACTGCGCTCATGAGAACTATGACAAGAAATTTAAAAAAACAAGAATGTGCGTTTAAGTTTTGGGAACGTCTAGAGATCTCAGTCTCTGGCTGGGCTCACACGGTACCCAGCAATGAACAAACCCATGGTGACAAAACAGCCCCTGTCCCAAAGCAGCCTGCAGCCCAGTGACCGAATTCAGACCCTACTGAATTATGTGTATTAAAATCACTACAGAAGATAAAAAATAAGCAGCACTTGCCAGGGGAACTGGTTAGAGTCGATTGAAAAACATGGACGTTTCATCTGAAGCGGCTGTGCGTACCTGTTTCTTTTCACCGCTAACCTGCGTGATAGTCTGCTCTACTCTAATCCGCAGTGTCATGAGCAAAGCTATCCCCAGCCCTGCCTTCAACCAGGACTGGAAAAATAGGTCAGGGAAATAGCATTATAATCTGATTTAACTGCTATTCAAATCATCACAGTCTCTCCATTAATTTGAATGAGAATTGGATTGGGCCCAAATTACTGACAACAAAATGGGAAGTTTATTTTAATAGCTTCAACTGTTTCATTTAAAATCTTCCATCTGAAGAACAGAAAAGAAGATTTCCCACATGCCTTCAGGTGGCTACAGTGGATCTTAAATTTTTATGTAAACCAGTTCAAAATAGACAGACTGTCTGCACTGCAGCTGGAAATTGGAGCCCCAACCTGACGTAAGGCCACCCCCCTCCCTACAGTAGATAGATGCCATAAAGCAGAGGAATAGCTCAAGAGTAAGAGAGTGCATCGCCCATGAGTTTGAGTAGAGGACCTCCAGGATTTGCTTCTCAGAGTGCAGCGGAAAGTCTGCAGTTTCAAAACATCTCACCCAGCTGGAAACCTCAAAGGCCAAAGTAAGAAGAGAAAGACTATCTGGAATTAACTTCCTAAACATCACAGCTCATAGCAGAAATTTTATTTATTTGATCAAAGCAAAAATAACTTCATATTCTGTAAAAAAAAAAATTTAAAAAAGAAAAGAAAAAAGGTCTTCCAAAGAGGCTTGTTTTGGCAAATAATGAATGCCTAAAGAAATATTGTTTGTATTGTGCAATGAACTTGTAATTAATGTTTGTTTGCTCACCATTTAATAGCAGTTCTGCACTGAGTGATGGGATTTTGCTGCCATTTGTGAATGTGCAGATTTTGAAACTTCATTCCCCATATGGAAGAGCTCCCAGGGGGTGATATCATAAGCCCATTCAAATGAACAAAACAAATGACAAGTATCTGTACAAATGTGGAAAATGAGAAAGCTGATTATTTTACGTAAGTATTGTTAAGTGCCTCAGTTTACTTGTGTGGTATTTTCCTGCTTGACTGCATAGAGGTAAATCAAAAGAGGCTGTCTAGATGAGGAGAATGAAAGCATCAAAAATATAAAACTCCTTTAGCTGTGATGAGGGGCCCTTAAATGGAGGAGTCCCCTGTTTCTTTCCAGCCAGCCTGGCAATGTTTATGCCTCTCATGCCTACATCTAAATCTAAAGGGAGTCCGAAATCCCAAAGAAATGATGAGTCTGGCCAAAAGGAGAAATGTCAGGTAGCAATCGGTGTGCTGTCAAGAATGCGGACACTGACCTGGATTAATCCCACATATCTACATGCACTTGAAACAGAAATGCGATCTGTCTGGCTAAGAGTGAAGCCACTTCCAGAGGGCGACTCACAGACAAGTAGGCTCCTAACACGGCAGGGATCCCAAAAGGGATCCAGCCAGGCCTTCCACCTCTCCATAGACAAGAAGAGAGGCAGCAGCACATACGGACAAGATTAAGCCAGCTTAGGTGATTGCCACTGTGCCTGCCACTGCCCTGGCACAAACTACACCTAGACTTAGCTGCTTGAGTAAATAGGCAGGCATGCAGGTAGGCTTATTGAAGCCTTTGCTGCCATGGTTTCATTGCTATTAGGGCTCCTCACAATTCACCGTTAAAGCCAGACTTCACAGAGAAGGAGGTCGGGGAAGGTGCAATACCTCGCAGGACAAGATTCAGCTATAGCTAACATGCATGAGTATGGACATTGCACTGCTTCAATTCTTTGTGTGAAATACCATGGACTTCTTGGTAGAGGAGTGATGAATATTGTTTTGTTTCGAACAAGCTGTCCCTTTAATTTGCTGCTACATGGGCACCCAAAGTAAAGGTTTTAGCAGATGCCAAACTCGGTTGGACCCTGCTTGTTAGTATGCTTGGGAGATGGTGGCAAAGCTGCCTCTCAGAAAGTCAGTCCTAGAATGGTAGGACTGTGCCACTAACTCAGAGCAAGGTACAGGAGCCATGCCTGTCACCCAGGGAGGACAAAAAGGGGTTAGTAGCCAGCCTGCTCTGTAACCAAGTCCGATGCATAATAGCTGAGAGGACATGGACTGTGATAGGATTTAATTCTGCACATTTTCCAGCGCTTACTGGAAGATACTATGCGCCCCTTAACTTCCAAAATAATTTTTAATTTGACACTTGCTTTCTCAGAGCTATGAGGGAGAAGAGAGAAGAGATGTTCTTTACCATAATACCTTCGTAGTATTACATGGCCTTGCTTCCTGGCATTTTTATATTTCCATCTGAAGTTCCCAGTTCTCCTGGACCACCAGGAGATTCCTACCGACCCTCAAAATTTGCCAGAGATGACTACGCATTCACCTCCAGTTATTACAAAGGAGAGCTTTCACACCGATACGGTGCTGCAGCTCACTTACAGTGGCCTTCCAGATCACCTGTATCC